AACCGACCTTCGAATCTCTTCACCAAACACTTCTACTCGAAATGGAAGTAAGCCCAACAATTAAATAACCAAGCATCTTCGTCCTCAGAAGATACGGATTTGCTTCGGTTGCCGTGCAGACAGGACTCTTACAAAATAAACCTGGTAACTCAAGGTATGTCTATCAATTTATAGTTATTCCAGCATACTCAAGGACAGTTCTAATCGGATTCGTTAAGATACACTTGTCAGCTTCGTTCAGAAAGTGAACAAACTCTCTTGTGCACTTCTGCCTCCGTTCTCCTCTTTTGTCCTTCTCTACAGCCGCATTCGCCGTTGCCAGGTCAAATGATAATCTCAAAAGCGCCTGTAGCCTGTCATAAAAAGCGAGGCCAGTGAAGAATACGTAATCCTTCGGATTACACTGCTGCAAGTCGGTCAAGCTCATGCTGTTGCGGAGGCTCAACTTGTCTGTCCTTAGATCCGGCCCGTTTAACGTTATCACTTATAGTACTGCTGCCGAAGCAACCAGCCATCTTACAGGCCAGCTATAGACGGTTTTGGCGATTTTATGGTTCATTTCATTGCCCAAACTGGTCTGCTGTCCTGTCATTCGCCCATATAGAATGCGACCTTCCAACAATGAAGTATATAGTTCAGCCAACTACCGCGTACAGGTCTCGCTTTCCGCCTATCTCTCTTCTTCTCTCTTCATGCATGTCCCTTCTTGTGTCATTTGTTCGTCCAACTCTATGTTTGTCCATCCACCTTACCTGTCATCAAGACTTTTGGAGTTCTACCAATGCAAGAATCCGTGTTAAGGATACCTCAAAATGCCTTTAAGAGGAAGAATGCAAACAGCTGTTTAAATAATCCCCTCAATTTCAGCTTTCAGAGTACAAAACTCGGGTGTCTTAATCTCCACTTTATTTTATCCAGCATCACCGCCAGCTGGGCCAGTCTACCCTTTGCCAGGCACAGAAGGCCAAACCGCCTGGCATAGATCGACGCTGGTACCTTCGTGCAGATTTCAACAAAGCTTTTATATTTTTACAGGCAAGGGGTGGCTTGACTGTAGCTAAGTGAACCCTGATCACCAACAAGGCAATTGACATTGCGTCGACCGGCCCTGACCAGACGACCAGACCAAACACGCCGATCAGCTGATTTTGAGGTACAGACTCGTATGACAGCTGATACATCCATCTCTTATCGGCCGTTAGGATTGCACCAACGTCTAGAGCCCAGTAATCACCATTCTTGACTGATTTTTGTATGACAGTCACAACAACTATGCCCCCTTTAAATTGAATACAATAAATTTCTTCTCTACATTCATCTCAACAGAATGATTCTCATCTAGACTCCACTGCAGCTTTAAATCCACCTAATCATTTCATCGGCATACCCATCCAGGTTCAAACCAGGTCGTCATGTGACTTTCAAATCGAGACCGGCAAATCACACAATTTCAACAAAGTTTCTTCATCCGAAGATAACCGTGGGTTGGCTATTGAGCTCGATACGCTACTGACGTATGCTATAAGTAGTAGTTTTTAGTTCCAAGTCTACTCGTGTTTAGTAATTTCTAATTTGATGATGTCCATAAAGGAAATGCTTGATTTTTGACATTTAATTGATGTAACTTGAGACAGGCTTGCTTCTCCTTCCGAGTGATGCTAATCATGTTGCGCAACGAGGATAGGGTGTATGTATGAGATGCATAAATGGACCAAATGGGAATACAAGAAGGAAGTCGGTTTGAAGCCGGCCACCTTTCTTGTCTTTGTGTATTTAGTAAAGTATCGTTAATCATGGTGTTATGTTCTGACGATGTCCGTCATATGACGGACGAAAGCTCAGCAAGGATTCATAGAGGTCTATTTGTACAAATCTACAACCACAGCACCAAGGTAACCTTCCCAAAGCCTCCGGTGAAACCAACTTACGGATCCGTTCCACTCGCCTCTTCTAACAAAATGAAGGGTACTCCAACACGAGGAGAAGATGTGTTTGCCTCTTTATACGTTAACGTTCATGGCTCAAGTCCTGTCTGGAGTTCTAATTAGATTGAGGCAGTATGGCAAAGATGAGTGCGATATTTTGGTCCAAGTAATGGGACGAAATTCACTGAAAGAGTTTTTCATACACTATGGGCAAATTTTTCGTCCAAAATATATCGGTTTTTGAAAGCTGTAAAACAAATATTTTGCTTTCGCAAGTAGGGTATGGAATGCATGACTCGAGTGATTCAGCTAGACGAAAAAGTGGTTCACATTTGTGATTCTTGTGGAATTTCCGTAAGGGATCCAGACTAAAGACAACCAGACTTATGTAAAGCAGCGATCCTGTTAGTTCATTTGAGGTAGAATTTTTCGCAAATTTATTCATATGTCATGACTCTTGGGTGATGCCAGAAAATGACAGCACTTCACTAGGCAGGGGAGACAGGCAACCCGATTGTATTGACATTTCGGTGAAAAGAAATCGGTCGCAGATCCGCAGAATGGCTCCAATGTGGAAATTTTCTCTGGTTGCTGACACTTCCTGGTTAAAGGTGATCGAAAATGGTAAATACAATGAATTTTAATGGATGTTTAAATATCCACCAAAATTAGGCATTCGGGACTTATGCATATTAAAGAATCACTTGGATTGCAATAATTTTAAAAAATTTGGCTTTTATCATTGTATCCTTAGCATAAAATTATATACCGTGTCATGATCTAAAACGCTTTATTTCTAGATTTATCTTTTATATTCGTTTGGTTGAATGAATGCCAACGGTTACTCTGTAATAAAATGAATCTCGACAAGATACATTTTCAGACATTTTACCGGCCTCGTAGTCGGCATCGTCAGTAAACTTTGTAATTCTTAGCATGACATTACAACTAGTCAAAGAGACAAGTGACAAAAGTAAAAGACCTAAAAGTCCGCTCCAGCCATAAGATAAAATATATTCCAGTATTGATATTTGAGCAAGCATTGATGGGACCCTAGAAACTGAGCAGGGGTCGTCATGATCTCCTTGTTAAGGCTGAACGTAATGTCGCAGATAAGAGAAACAGTGAGCATATAAGATTAGAATTCACCCTATTTCATCTGGGGTGAGGACGGACTGGTATTAGAAGTTTTCTGAAATAGATTGGATACAGCTGTTATATCATATCTGCGGGTAGTTTTCAAAACTTGCTTAAAAACGGAAAATAAATAATGTATTTGATTTATATAGCAAATAAGACTTTGCTTCTTCGGAAATCCCACCACAGAAATGTGATATAGGAAACCTTAGGCTTTCTTAAAATTCACTTTTGCCCTGTGACCCCAAATCATTCCTGCTAATGAGATGCACTTGTCAACTTGTCAATACTATATGCCATAATGCCTGGGTTCGAGTTCCGCTGGGGGCGCTGATGAGAATACTTTTGGGGAAGCAAGTCTATCTGGAATCTAATGAAAATAGTAAAA